CATTTAGCTGGCTACTTTCGAAATTGGATTCTAATGACCTCAGTGAATTATTGAATTCACATAAGTATGTACGTAAAGAGGTGGCAAAGTGGAGAACTCTTTTACCCAAAATACATGCTATACTTGAAGATGCAGAACAGAAGCAAGTAACAAACAAGTTGGTGAGGTTATTTCTTGGTGGTCTCAGGGACTTGGCTCTTGACATGGAAGATATCCTTGACGAACTGGAGCTCGATGCCAAGCGGAAACTGATTGCAAGTCCTCAAGCCAGCACCAGCATCATACAAAAACTCACACCGAAGTGGGTTAAAGATCCAGAGATTGCTTCCCAGATAAAGAACATAACTGCCAGACTGCAACATTTTGAAGGAGAGATAAGGACTTTGGACTTGATTAATTCGGCTGTGAATGTTGAAGCAAGTTCTAGTAAAGCTGTTGCAGTGAGATCACTAGATACTGCCATGCCCGAATCTCGTATTGTTTATGGTCGGGAAAGTGATAAAGAGAAAATCTTTCAAATGTTTGATGATGAAGGCAATCATGAAGGATACTCTGTTATTCCAATTATCGGAATGGGGGGTCTAGGCAAGACCACTCTTGCAGGCCTCATTTATTATGATGATGAAAAATTGAAGGATTATGGGTTTGAATTGAAGGCCTGGGTTTGTGTTTCTGATGTATTTGATGTTGACCAAATTACAAGGGTCATTCTACAGCAAGTAACTAGGAAAAAGTCTGATGTACAAGATCTTTTTTCACTACAACAGGATCTGAAGAAAGAACTCTCTGGTAAGAAGTTCTTACTTGTACTAGACGACATATGGAATGAGGAGTATCACCGGTGGGATGTACTACGAAGACCTTTCTCAGATGGAGCACCTGGAAGTAAAATCATCGTAACAACTCGAAACATGGTTGTTGCAAAAACCATGAGAGCAGATGATAAAGTTTACAATTTAGATCTTCTTCCAGAGGATGAATGTTTGTCATTATTTGCTAGACATGCATTAGACAAGGAGAATTTTGATTCTCACCCAGAACTAGAAGGAGTTGGCAGAGAAATTGTAGATAAATGTAAAGGATTACCTTTGGCTGTGAAAGTCCTTGGTGGCCTCTTGCGTTGTAAACCGTATTATCAGGAGTGGGAAGATCTGTTAAATCGTGAGTTGTGCAATCTACCCGAAGGCCAAAGTGACATTTCTGCAGTTCTGAAATTAAGCTACAACCGTCTTCCTCCTCATTTGAAGGGATGCTTTGGCTTTTGTGCTATATTTCCTAAGGACCATGAATTTGACAAAAATGAGTTAGTTTTGTTATGGATGGCACAAGGGTTTTTGCAACAACCGTCACAAGGAATAAAGCAAATGCATGATCGTGGCCATCAATGTTTTAATGATTTATTATCAAGATCAATTTTTCAACCATCAATCAGAGATCAATCACAGTTTATGATGCATGATTACATATGTGATTTAGCTCAAGAAGTTGCTGGAGAAATATGCTGCAGTATTGATCAACTGAGCTTGGGTGATAATAAGGCTCGCCATTTGTCATTTGCTCCTCGCCGATATGATGTATTGAAAAGATTTGAAGTCTTGAATGAAGAGAAGAATTTGCGAACACTCCTACGATTGAAATGGAACAATAATAGAAATTGGCCTGGTCCCTACTTATCGAATGAAGTTGCAGTCGGTATATTACCAAAATTGAAGTGCCTAAGGGTGTTATCTCTTTGTGGAGTACAGAAGCTACCAAATTCAATTGGGGATTTGAAGCATCTACGATTCGTTAATCTGTCTCATTCATTAATTCAAAGTTTGCCCGAGTCGGTGGGTTCCTTGCTTTTCTTACAGACATTGATTTTACATGACTGTAAAGAGCTTACTAGGGTACCTGCAACAATTGGGAATCTAATTGACCTCCATTATCTTGACCTTACTAATACACCATCTCTGACAGAGATTCCATTGGGGGTAGCTAAATTGAGAAGTCTTGTGTTACTGACCAAATTTATTCTGGGGAAAGCTGATTCTGGATTAAGATTGAAAGAATTGAAGAACCTGACAGGCCTTCAAGGTCGACTTTCCATTTTGAATCTACATAATCTTTTAGATATCGAAGATGCCAAGGATGTCAAGCTGGGCAACATGGAATTGGATGATCTATCCTTAGAGTGGGCTTCTGTTTGTTCTGATTCGCAGAGTAAAGTGAAAGACTTCCAAGTCCTTGAATGCTTAAAACCTGGTCAAAGATTGGAAAGGTTGACGATCAATTGCTACGGTGGGGAAGAATTCCCATCCTGGATAGGTGATCCATCCTTTTCCCAGTTAAAGTTCTTGGAGCTTCGTGATTGTCAAAATTGTACATCATTACCATCACT